CTGTGTCTCTCCGTCAAGGGAACAACACTGCCGGAGGGACTGAATCTGTTGGAAGAGGAGCAGAAAGGGGACTAGTAGAAGAGCACTGTTAACCAACTTACAAAAAATGGTGATGTCTCCCCTCTTTATTCTATGGCTGAGGAATAGGGAAATGAATCAAACAACAGATAACTGAGAAATACTTTCACAGAGTCAACGTAAGGTTTGATTTGAAATAAGGTAAAGGTTTGCCATAGTAAATGGAAATGAAATGCAAAATGACATAGCAGACAGACCATATGAGTTGCTGAAGTTAAAGTTAAATATAAACTTTCTATCCTTACGTAAGAACTGAGACTGTAAAGAATAAAACTGAGTAAATAATATCATTTTTACTCTGCAACTATTTGGTTTTGGGTTCTTTCCCCAGGCCCCATGATAACGTGTTATACTTTTCAGACTGTTTGTTGATACAGATCATGGGAATTAAAAATCTCTGGATTTAAGCTGATACTACTACTTCTCTTTCTTTCTAGACAGGGTCTCACTCTGTCAGTCAGGCTGGAGTACAGTGATCATAGCTCAATGCAGCTATAGCCTCAGTTGAACTCCTCAACTACTGTTCCTGCCTCAATCTTCTGAGCAGCTGGAACTACAAGTATGCACCACCATGCCTGACTAATTTTTAAATATTTTTTTTTGTACAGACGGGGTCTCACTATGTTGCCGAGGCTGGTCTCAAACTTCCGGCCTATCATCCTCTCATCTCGTCTTCCCAAACTATTGGGATTATACAGTTGAGCCACCACACCTGGGCTGATATAACTTCAGATATAGTTCTAACATAGGGCAACAGTTAACAGGGGGACAGTAAGTTCTATGCTCAAGAATATTTTAACCATTAAGGACATAAGAAGAAAAATACTAAAATTATTATAAGAACACCTGAAGTAGACACAGAATATACTTCCCAAATGTCTGTGACACATCTGCTTCTCAAGACCAGATGTAAATCAAAGTAACAGCTTCTTTAGTTTTCATTGCTCATATGGTCAATTTTAATTTATTTTTAAGAGAGGTAAATAATAAATATTACCAATCGAAATTAGTAATATTTCGTTTCTTTCCATTAGGACTTTCTTTCAACTGACTTGTATTAAAACTTATGCTATTTCCACCAAAAGAAATGTCCTAACAAATTCAAGGTATTAGAAAGAGAAAAGTGAGGCAGAGGGCATAGAAGTACTGGTGAAAAAAAAGAAGACTCTCAAGTCTGTGGTAGCAGCAGTCACTCATGAAGGAAAATAGCAAAGATATCATCAAATGACATGTGAAAAAAAGGAATGAAAAACATCCAAAAAGCTTTTGTTTGGAATTATTACGTTCATACTAATTTGAAAAGAATAATTACTGCTGGTACCATACTTCCTCTAATTTGCTTGGTGGGAGCAAAGAAAAGTAAACAGTGCTACAAAGGAAAGTGAAACTCCCCAGGCCACCTACCTGTGTGATAACATACCAGGAAGGGCAATGCTGCCAGGTTCCCAGCTGAAGATCAGCTCCCTGCCTGGAATCCCGAGGAAGCCCTGGCAATTACTGATCCTAGTGTGGTTGCAGATGCTATTCTGATTCATGGAAGTGTCTAACTTTACCATAGTTCTCACAACACTGTGAATACTTCAGGACAAGAGCTTCCTGCTTTAAAAAAATAAGAATGCAAGTCTTTTGGCACACCTCCAGTTTCTCCAACATCAAGTCATTTTGGCTAAGAACATCAGGTAAGGAAGATGTTCTCTGTTCCACCAGGGCCCACTTTGGTAACATCTATACAAAAGTCATTAGACGGGAAAGCAATACAAAAACAAAACTTACCTGTCTACTTCACTGCTTGTTGGCCGAGCCACCTTGGCTCCTGAAGACCCTAAAGTGTAATTTTCCTGTCCTATAGAACCATGGCCTGTGGTATCAATCACCATGGCTGTGACTTCCTCTGCACTACTCCCATCTTCTCCGGAAGGCTGATTCTCAGGCCCAAGCCACTCCTCCAGATTTTCCGTTTTAATGTGTACTGCTCCAAGAACCCTAACTTCATCATCACTCCGACCCCCCCGGTCTGCTACTCCTGTCTCCACATACCACTGTCCTGCTCGGTTGATCCGAAGAATGGGCTCCCGGCTCTCTACATCAGAGCTCTGTTCAATTATCTGAGGGCTGGTGGACTCCTCAGGAGGACTTAGCTCTCTGATATCCAGCACAGCACTAACCTGACCTCGCCGGTTTCCCTTTGGCGTATTATGTCGTGGGCTAAGGGAGCGGTTGAGATTTGGTGTAACCCTGTGAGACTCTGGAGGTCTCTCTTGATGCTTTGTCCTTGTTTGACTTAATTCTGCTTCAACCTCAGCCACATTAATTTTGAAATGAATGCCCTCTAGGATCTGTGTACATTTGTCTATTATATGCTGCATCTGCAGAAAACTGGCAGCTGTCAGGTAGCTGATGATATCTGCCAGTTGCAGGCATATCCGCCCCGTGTAACAGAAAGAAAGGAGCTGTTCAAAAACAGTAGGGTTCTTGATGACTGAAATGGAGACAGTACTCATCTCATTCAAGGACATGTGATCCCGGAAATAGGGGGAGCTGGCAGCCAGCACTACTTTGTGAGCCCGAAAAGCTTGTCCTTGCACATTGACCACAATATCACAGAGACGGCCCTGCATGCGCAGCTGGTTTAGATGGCTCAGGACAGAGTTGCTGAAGTCAGGGATCTCCAATTGTATGTTCCCACCTTTCTCCATGGTCGTGCCTGAGGGTGCAGGCAGGCATTCAACCCTGCTGAAAGAAGAAACAGTATTCTCATTAACAATTAACATGCTTTCCAGTTCAAACATATCTAAAAATATTATTTGGTAAAGTTTCAAAATCTCCCAAGTAAAATGAGATACTTTCCTTATGTTTAGATGTGGACCAAGAATTACCAACAGGATTTTCAGTCTAGGTTTCACAGGAGAACATAGTTAAGACTAAAAAGTGATCGTTAGACTCCTGAAAATTCAAGCTATGACAGCATACAACATCAAAATAGAAGTTCAAATGGGGGTGGACTTTTAAAGTGTTAGCCATAAGTTATTTGCAGACAATATAAAATCCCCTAACAACTTCACAACTATTCTCTGCAGAAGGAAAGGAATAAGCTTTTTGAATAAATGTAATTCTACACAGATGGCTTGATTAAATACTCCTCTTCTTAATATTTCACTACATACCGCACGAGTTATGCTTACACAGTGACTAATACACCATACGAATGTAGTCTGATATTTCTAAGCTTAAGAGTCAGAGCCTTCATAAAGAAGCTTTGGACTCCTAAGCAAAAACAATGGTTTAGGAAAAATAGCACAGCTAAGTGAGAACTTGATCAAGATGCAGAGAACTTGAAGTTCAGCTCTCAGAACTAGGAAAGTAAGCCTGTCCCTACCCATATTCGAAGTTGGCAATTTCAGAATGGTGAGGAAACTTGGATTCTGAAATTTAGCTCACCAGAGATGGTGAAAAAAAAAAGAAGAAAGCATTTATTAAGCCAAACATTTTCCATTGAAAGATGTTTTTAAAACTGCTGTAACAGTAGGCCTGAAACTGCTTCCAATAATCTTCAACAGTTGAGAAAAATTTGCATAAATTCTGATAGGAAGACATTAACTTGAGTCCGATGCGCATCCACTTATCTATGAACTTATCTTACATAGTTACGTAAGACCTAAAACTTGGGGAACTTATCCCTACAAGCTCACGGTACTGTCCCGCATTTACAACACATTTTTCAGTTAATAGGGAAGTGTACATACACTGCTTTCAAGAACCAACTTTAGCCAATCTGACCTTTTTCCAAAGCGTTATTATTTGTTTTGAAACTTTTAATCCAATAAGAGCCTCTGTCGATGCCACCATGAATTTAGATGTGTTTATTTTCGAGCCTACACCAGCGCCTTTTTTGTTTGCTCTTTCTGGCAACTCCCCAGTGAGGAGGAAGCCCCTGGAGGAGTCTTTCTCTACCGTCGGCACTGGAGGGGTGACAGCCATAAGAGGGAGAATCGGGAACCGCATGGGGTTGGCCACTCCGGTACTTGAGGAGCTTTCGTCTGCGTTAGGAAGTATGGGGAGATGCGAACTGGCTGAAGGGCGAAATGTCACTGAGGAACTCTGGAGATGAGGGGACAAGGCGTCGGCCCGGGAAGGGAGTGCTCAGGTGAGAGCAAAGGACCAGGAAGGGGGCGGCGCCCCGGGACCCGGTCCCGGCTGCAGGCAGACGCGGGAGGGGAGCTGCCCGGAGGTGGGTGTGCGCAGCTGGGTGTGTCCCGGCTGCGGTGGGGGAGGGGAGGGGAGGGGCCGCCCATCCCGGGGTCCTGAGGGAGGGGCCGCGCGGAGGGGGCGGGTCCTGCAGCTCTGCCCAGCCGGGGGGCAAGGAGGTGGAAGGTCGCCGGGTGCCTTGAGGCGGGGTGAAGGGAAGTGGCTGAGCGCTCCAGGAGCGGGCAGCGGCGGAGACGGGGCGAGGAGTTCCCGGTGCAGGGGACCAGGACCGGGGTGCGGGGCCCGAGCCCAGTCAAGGTGCAGCACCTACCTCCGGGGGTGGAAATGGGCCGGAATGGGCCGGAACACCGTCCCGGAAGTGAAACCCCCCGCCCCCTCCCCCAGAGCGGGCGACGTGCCGGAAGGAAATCACTCACCCTTACACCACCCCCTTCCCCCTGCCCCGGCGCGTCCCGTGCCTCGCGCCCCCTCCCCTCTCAGCTCTTCCTCCTCGGTCGGAGGAGCGCGGGAGCCCTGCGTCACCCGGGCAGTCTTGTCTCCGCCCACCATGGCATTGTAGGGCGTGGCCAAGGGGCGGGCTTAGAAGGCAGGAGGAGGTGGAGATTGAGGGAGGAGAGAGAAAGCGGACGCTGGCGGGACGGTGCGTCGTGACGTCATCAAAAGACCCTTTATATACGAGCGCCCGGTCGCCATATCGTTCTTTCGACGCTAGGAGTCTTGTCTGTGAGTAATGTCTGTGTTAGTGTTAAGTGAGTCAGTGGTTCGGATCCTTGAACCTTTAACTCTCTCAAGGGCGTACTAGGCTAGTCGCGCGTCTCTACTGGGCCCACAAGGTGAGGATGGTGAAGGATTGCGTATTTGGTGCAGGCGCGGCATAGATTGATACTCGGTTTTGGGGCCGAGCGGCAGACAAACCTCGGCTCACGTGCCCTGCCTCTGATGAAGCCCATGTTGGTAGGGACATCTGAGAGTTGATGAATGCCAACTGCTCTGATGGTGGAGCATGCCGAGTTATCTAGATGGAATTTTGAATTGGACGCGGCTGGAACTTCCAGCCACTTGCTCTCAGGGAGACTGGTGGTTTTGATAGTCCATGTGATTCTCTTTAAGTGGCTACAGTTCTCAGTACCACTGTTATTTGTGCTGTCCTTCGCCTATCGTGCAGCAGTTATGGGTGGTAAGCGTCATCTTGGTCACGATGGATTAAACGTTTGCATCTCATTGTTTTTTAGGAATGGTGGTAGGCTTGGATGCATTGTGGCTTTCGATGACATGTTGTGGACAGGTAAGAGTGGGCAGAAATTAGCGGAGGCCAGATTTGCTGAAAAACGGTCTTTATTAAGCCTGTGATGGTTTTAAGAGTAGTGGACAGAAGGGATTTCTGAAATTCTATTCTGAGGCTTTAATGTGTGAGACGTTGATATTTAATATGGTCACAGTGAGGTTGTTCTAACTGTTACGCATCTTCCCTGTTTTCTAGCTGTGTGCCAAAAGAATGAGAGTACCTATGGAGGTAAGTTACTGAAACCCTCTCTGAGAGGTAGTTAGATCGAAAGTCAGTGTGCCACAATGATGACAGCTTATTTGCTACTCTTGACTTAAAGAATGACGAGAAATCTTACCACCGTTATCCTAACTGAGGCACACAAAATGGTGATCTGGGAAGCATGGAGATTGCACCTGAGTTAATGTGAATTTGTTTTCTCAGGTCCTAAAGAGCAAGACTCAATGTGGCTGTGAGTGTACAGGTGAGAAATTCTGTATATGTACAAAATCTGTATTCGTCCAGTACTTTTCACTATTTTTTTGAGACTAGATTACTAAAACAGTATTGAAGCTTATGCATTAGAAGAATTTTTGCTTCCTGAAATGTAAAAGGCTATTAACTCGCTAAATTTAGTATTGGAGGAAACCTGAGGAAACAGATACTATGATGGTTGCATAGTTCAGCAGATTGAATCATGAAGAAATTAGCCATTTGTCTGATGTATCTGGGGGTATATGGGGCTTGCCGATAGCAGTACATGTAAAGCACCTGTCTGCTTTTACAGTCAGTGTTTAATTTGTTTTTAAAATGTGTTTTGTAGGCACTGGCAAGAAAGCTGGAAGTTGAAATGGTAAGTAAAATTAATCCAGTTATGCATAGGAACTGGGCAGGCTGCCTAAAGTAACTGTCAGATCCTTGTCCTGTTACCCTTACATTAGTAAACACTATGAGAATTGCTTAATGCAGCCTGGATGATGATAAAGCAAGTACAGACTGAAAGTGAAGTCTTAATTAGCTCTAACTGATTTCAGGCCATTTTTAACCTTGAGGGGAAAAGATGGATGTGTAGCTATTCTAAAACCACTCTTTCATTTCTTAGGTGACGTCTGACTTGTCTGGACCAGTTTAATTTTTTTAGTAAGTATTAAATGGAAATGTTGCAGTAGGCTTAAGACTTGATACTGAGCAAGTGGCTACTTGTGAGATGTACCAGTATAGGTTTAATGAATGCTAAGTGTTTGTGCATGCTCTGAACAGGGTTTTTGTAATGATGTTGATCAAATGTCTGACCTGAAATGAGCATGTAGACGTATTTAATACTGAAGAAACCCTGTAACAAACAACTTGGAGAATAGTTCAGTCATATGTAGCATTTTAATGAAGGTTCTCATTTTTCTTTTTTAGCTACTGGTTACTCGTTTCTATCCTGCAATGGCTTACTTGGGTAAGGCAATACCTGGCATTTTGGGTATGTGAGTTGGGGTCTCCTGTTAAAGCCAGTGGACAAAATTTTGAAAAATGGACAAATAGTACTAAATCTCTTGTACTAAAAGTTTAAGATAAAGTCATCAAATAAATAACTTTTTTTTAAAAATTTTTTTCTTTTTTGAGACGGAGCCTCAAGCTATCCCCCTGGGTGGTAGAGTGCCATGGCATCACGCTTAGAGCAACCTCCAACTCCTGGGCTCAAGTGAGTTTCCTGCCTCAGCCTCCCAAGTAGCTGGGACTACAGGCGCCCGCCACAGTGCCCGGCCATTTTTTGGTTGCAGCCATCATTGTTGTTTGGCGGGCCCGGGCTGGGGATTCAAACCCACCACGTTAGGTGTATGTGGCTGGCGCCTTAGCAGCTTGAGCCACAGGCGCCGAGCCATAAATAACTTTTAAAAAGCAAAAGTATGAATACTACTTTGTAAAGTAGATGGTATGACTTAGGAAGTGGGACCTAAAGGAATACTTATTTCAGGTGCAGATTTTGGAGACTTTAAGAAGCATGGTCTCCTGTTTCCCACACTGTTCCTTGAGTAGTCTCCTGAGTAGCCAGGACTGCAGGTGTGTTCCACTGTACCCATCGAGAACCTTTCATGGTATGTATTTTATTGGTCTTACATGTTTATTTGGCAAGATGCTGTTAGTGATGACTTAAAAGAACAATAGATGGGAATCTCTCTGAAAGAGAATGAAGATTAGTTTGGAACTGAAACAGCAAATGGAAAATTATTAAATCTACCTACTGAGTACTTACTGCTAAATTATAATAAATTTCTGCAGGTGTGAAGGAATCAGCTTGACTACAGTGGAGCAAGTTTCAGAAGAGGTATTGCATTCTCAGTTCTGTTTTTATTCCAGTAGTCTAAAGCCGATACAATGATGATAACATAGTTCAGCAGACTAACACTGATGAGCAGTATTATGTCTTTCGCTCCTATCTGATGTATCTGGCTGTAACATTTCCAATTTCCACCCGTAAAGAGAAATTTTAGCTACTTACCGTCCTGTAGAAAATATTTAGGGATTTGGATTATCATAATTTGTATACTGATGTCTTATTTTTTACTTCTTAATTTCAGGAATAAGAATTCATGACTGGAGAAGTACAGGTTAGTTGAAACTTAAGTTGTGAGGAAATTTTCATGGCATATGTATCTCAATCTGGTTTGGGGTGATTGAGCAGTTTTAAAAATTTTAGATGTGGCAGTTGTATAGAGGAAAAAGAAATTGAGTAAAGCAAAAAATTACATAGAATTATTTTCCCTCTTTAAACAGGCAGATCTTCTAAAAGCACAAAAAGGTAAGTCAGTTTTTGATATGTAGTTTTAATTTGGAATGTAACCAATGATGTAATGATTCTGCCAAATGAGATAGGGTGATATCATTTGTAAAACCGTTCCATTTTGATTCTGAGGTTACTATATTTAGTAAGTATCACACAGAAATCTTTTTACCATGATTAAAAGGTAATCTCTGCTTTTTAGGGATTTTGTGACCACAGCAAGCCTGCAACATACGTAATAAGGTAAGGGTTGAAAATATTACTAGTGTCACTCACCCCAGAATACATGATGATCTCATGTCAACTTGAACTCTCTCACTGATTACTTGATGACAACAAAAGATCTGATATTCTGCCTTTTCTAGGTGTCAATCTAAAGTCCAGAAACACAGCTAAAAGTGTTTTTTTATTGCAGGTGTTTGGATGCTGATGGGAAGATTAAACAATGTCCTTGAATGTTAATAAATTTCTACAAATTGTCTGGAGCAGTGTGGTTATTTTGAATAGGATTAAAGAAGGGAAATCAATCAAATGAAAAGCATGTTTTAGTTTGCATATTAACCATATATTAAGAATCCATAGCTGTTGCCTATTGACAGTGTAGCCAACTAAGATTTTTGTGGACTTCATTTGTGGATGTACTAGCAGAGCTTTAAAGTGCTATGTATGTCAAGCCTTATTCTAGAAATGCTGTATTTGATTAGGATGAGCACTACAATTTGCAGGATTGTTAATAAATTCCTAGATCTGTTGGTTTTGAACCTGAAGCTTTGATCTGAAAAGGCACTTCTGTTTTTGAAAAAAAGTCATGAAGAGTAAAACAGCCTAGAAAATGAGATAATCTTGGTCTAGGCTGTGTTCAGCTTTTCCTTGAGACATTTTGTCTGGAATGTCCATCTAATGGTGAAGGGAATTGGGATTAGAAGATAGTCTGCATGCCATAGCCTCTTCTTGGAAAGTCTTTGTTGATGGCAAGATGGATGGGGTGTCAAGAGGTATAGCGATTAAACAGGCTGTTCAAGAGTGGTCTCATTCAAAAAACCAAAATTCAAAGAAAAGGATGGCAAAAGACTTAATTCAAAGTGGGTAATCAAGACTAATGTTGGTGAGTTCCCAGGTACTTCCTGAAGAAGACTCTGTACTTGGGATCAAAATCTGTCAATTCCTGCTTGTTTCACAATTTAGTGCTTTAGTGGTTACTAGCAGAGCATGGATGGTTTATTAGGATTCATCCTATGGCTTGAAAAGCACCTTTTGAGAAAGTAACAAGGTGTTTGGGTGCAATGAGGCTAAGGTGATGGAGACCAGTAATGGCAGCGTAGAGACGCTGTCTGTACAGAAACTGGAATATCAGCCAGGAGCAGTGGCACATACCTGTATGCAGCAGCTTTTCTGGGGTCAACAACACCTCTCAGGTTGGGTGACAGACCTTGTCAAGAGTAATGGGATAATCTGATTTCTGGGTTAAAAATGGACACCTGCAGAAATGGTTATGTTGGGAGTTTTGATACTTTCAAGACTCAAATTCTTGTCCAAGCCTTACAGCAGTGTTTTCCATGGTTCTTGTTCAAAATCTCTTCGGGTCCTTTAGCTGTGTCTTTGAACTCTACCTACAGTAATCATTTCCTAATACCTGAGCCTCATGCCTGTTGAGCTCACGAGTTCAGAGGCCAGCCTGAAGAAAAAGACTTGTCTACTGAAATAGAAAACTTAAAAGTGCAGTGGGCACCTGAAGTCCCAGATAGCTGGGAGGCTAAGGCAAGATAATTGCTTGAACCTAGGAGTTTAAGGTTGCTGTGAGGTAGGCTGACAACATGGCACTCAATCCAGGGTGACAGATTGTCTTCAAAAAACACGGAAACTATATGATTAAAGATTTCAAGTGAAATAATTTTGAAAGGCTTGTATCTGCACTTAAAGGGCCTTTGTAATGAAATAAGTAGTGTTAGTGTGGTTTTTAGCTGCTATATATTGGAATGTGTCAACATTTTTGGTAAGAATTTGCATAACTCAGTGGACCAATATTTTCCAAGTAGTGCATGATCAAAAATCATGCTTAGGTAAAAGTTCTATTCAAGATAGAAGACATACAAATCATCTAACACTGGGAGGCTGAGGCGCGTGTATTGCCTGAGCTCAGGAAGGATGAAGTAACATGTATGGTGGCAGACCAGTCTAGCAAGAGGAAGACCCAACCTCTAAAACTAGCTGTTGTGTGTGTGGTGGTGGTGGGGGTACTGGGGTCCAGCTACTTGGGAGGCTGAGGCAAGAGAATTGCTTGAGCCCAAGAGTTGGAGGTTGCTGTGAGCTATGGACACCCTGGCAATCTACCAAGGGCAAGAAAGTGAGACTGTTGAAAAACAATTTTAAGGTTTTTTTTTGAGACAGACTCAAACTCACCTGGTTAGAGTGCTGTGTTGTCATAGCTTACAACAAATTCCAACTCTTGGGCTTAAGTGATCCTTTTGCCTAAGTTTTTATTTTTATCTGGAGACAGTCTCACTTTGTCACCCTTGGTAGAATGCCTGTGGGGTCATATCTCACAGCAAACTTCAACTTTTTAAATGCCTGGCTATTTTTTTTGTTTTTAGTGATGAGGTCTTGAACCTGTGAGCTCAGGCAATTCACCTGCCTTGGTCTCCCAAATGCTGGGATTACAGGCATAAACTACAATATTTGGCCTTAGTTTTTTCTATTTTTAGTTGCAGTGGGGGCTGGCTTTTTGCTCAGGCTGGTCTTGAACTTGTGAGCCACCTTCCCTGGCCCTCTGTTAGTTAGGTTTTGGTGAAGTGTTGAGGAGTAACATATCAGAGAGGTCTATTAAAATACTCCCTTTTACAACTTTATATTTAAGGCCAGGTTTTCTTAACATAGATGAAAGCAACATCAACAAAAGGAATGCAAAAACCAGATGAATAAGTCTAATGTGTTCTCTTAAGAAATGAAGTATTTGCAGAAATATAAAAATGGTCACTCTTAACTAATTTCTGTTTTTTTGAGACAAGAGTCTCACTGTTAACCCTGGCTAGGGCACAGTGGCATGGTCATAGCTCACTGCAGCCTCAAACTTGAGGGCTCAAGCAATCCTTCCTCAGCCTCCAGGGTCACTGGGACTATAGGCATGAACCACCATGCCCTAAGTTTTCTGTATTTTGTAGTGATAGGGTCTGTCTCTTGTTCAGGCTGATCTCGGAACACCTGATCTCAAGTGATCAATCTTGCCAGGATTACAGGCCTGAGCCACCATCCCTGACTGCTAATGTATTTTTGAAAATAATGTTAAGTAAAAATATGCTATTTGTAGGGTGGGTGCGGTATATCACTCCTATAATCCCAGCACTTTGGCAGACCAAGGCAGTATGATCCCTTGAGCCCGGGAGTTAAGCTCAAGGCTGTAATGAGCTGTGATTGCACTGCTGCACTCTAGCCTGGGCAACAGATCCTGTCTTTTAAAAAGTGACATACAATGAGTTCTCTTAAAGTGAATTAAAGGATATTTTAGGAAATGTTGACTTTTTCAGTAACTTTTAAATAAGAGTCCAGGGCAGCAGTTCTCAACCTGTGGGTCACAACCCCTTTGGGGGTCTCCTGCATATCAGATATTTACATTACGATTCATAACTAGCAAAATTACAGTTATGAAGTAGCAACGAAAATAATTTTATGGTTGGGGGTCACTACAACATGAGGAACTGTATTAAAGGGTCACAGCATTAGGAAAGTTGAGAACCACTGGTCTAAGGGGTCTGGAGAATAAAAAATTTTTGAGAACTGTGAGTTACGTTTGTGGTATAGTTTAGGCTAGGCATTTCTGGAGGTCTTGTTGACCAGACTCCAAGTTCCTTAACCCCCTTGAAGCTAGCAATAGCCTGATGGTTTACACAGGATGTCTAGCACCTACCAGGCTCAAAGCTAGAATTCTGGGGGTCCTGTGTACCCCCCTTTCAGGTGGTGCAGACACCCTGATTGTTACCTGGTGGCTGAGAACAGAATGCCTAGCAACCAAAGATTAGCTATTGCCTGAGTCTTGCCCAGGTATAGATAGAAATCATGGAGGTGAGCTAGGCAAGTTTATCCCCAATTTGTAAATTATAAAAGTTGCAATCACATGGTGTGCCTGTGTGTGATTTTCCTTTCCTTTGTTTCCTTTCTGACTCTTAATGATTACTTGAAGCATCTTGCTTTGAGTAACTCGAATTAAGACAACATGATTATGATTTTTGATTGAATGAAGACCTGTGAGAGAATGGCCTGGTGCTGCCCTGAAGATGCTGCTGGCTTCCTGTTAGCCTCTCACAGGCTCCCATGGGTTATTTCACCTGAGATAACTGAGTGTGCACTTTTTTTTCGCATCAACTGCCCTCATTCCCTCAGTACAGATCCTGGCAAAGGTTGTGGGGGCCCAGGCCCCTAGAGAGAACTGCTGTTCCAAGTAAAGCAGCAGCACTCCAGAGAAGTTAAGTAACTGGGTCAAGGTTGTATAACTAGAAAGTGGTGAAGGCAGGAATTAAATTCAAGTATGTGTCTAATTCACACAAGTTCTAAGTCACTAAGTAGTGTTAAATACAGAAGATTGATTTAGATGTGGATTTATTGTAGGACTTAGATATGCAACTCGTACACAGACAACTCCAGTTAATGTTTTTATTATCTACTTGGTTAACTCATTAGTAACTTAATACTTTCCTTTAAATAAAAAGGTATCATTAAGGCAGCATCATTAGGGTGAATTAACTTTAGGGCAGAATCCTTAAGCTGACAAAAAGTCATGGGAAGGGAATGTGATCAGTGTCATAGATCTAGTTCCTCAGAGAACTCTGGGAAAAGATGGCGGCTATATAGATCATTGTTCTATTTAACTAAAGCCCAAGAACATAAAACAATACCACTGGACACATCATCTGACACATCTCTTCCCCCAAAGGAGAGATTGTTCATAGGACAAAGCTCCCTTGAAGCTCAGAATGACTATTGCTGTTGTAGCTGGTAATTGCTTACCTTGTTTTTAAAATTTTCAGCAATTCCTGAGCTTGGGTAGATTGGATTTGAAATAAACTCGCTTTCAGTTTACAATTAAGTTGTATAGTCCAAAATCCTGGCTGTGTTGTTTTCAACTTTTATCAGTAAGTAGTTCTTTAATTTTTGTGAAAACATTTACAGTTTCACCCCACTCTATTGATGGAAGTCTTAAATAGTGATATTGTCCTGGATTTCAGAATAAGGATTATTTTTTTCTTCATCATAGCTCTTAAGAAAATCCCAAGTGACCAGATCTCTTGAGATGGTAAGATGGGATTCTTTGACTCCTGGGGATTTTTAGCCTAAAAGAAGACTCCCTAGATTTGGGGTAGCTTCTGTAAGTCTCACTTGTAGTATAGGACAGGATACTTTGGTCAGAATTAGGCTCTAAACAGTGAATCATGAATTTATTATACTTAGAAATTAGGTTAACACATGGTGTATATGGATGTAAAATTACATCTTCCTACCCAGAAAAGGGCATCTCTAGAAATTCTCTCTATTGAGAAAGGGCAGGCAGAGTTGGACATCCTATTTCACCATAAGAATCCTGCCAGCAAGACTTCCTGGTTGCAGAGTATACCCACCAATGAGGAAGAGATTAGGTGAAAGGGCAAATTTAGGGAAAAGCTCCACCTAATGGCAAACCAGCTTCCTGCAGGAGGGAACACTCGTTTTCACATAAGCGTCACCAATTCAGACCTGAAGGTGAATCTTACTGTTTTTTTTGAGACAGAGCCTCAAGCTATTCCCCTAGGTAGAGTGCTGTGGCATCACAGCTCACAGCAATCTCCAACTCCTGGGCTCAAGCGAGTCTCCTGCCTCTGCCTCCCAAGTAGCTGGGACCACAGGTGCCTGCCACAATGCCTGG